GTGCCAGGTACAGTTCTTTACAAGTATTAACTCATTTAATCCTCACAACTCTAAGAAGTAGGGCAGGACAGGTTTTTATGCCAACATAACACCTGTAAGAAGATACGGGTGGAGTTTAGCCTGTCCATCAGGCTACAGAGTGGAGCCGTACCTTGGAGGTGTGGCCTAGATACATAATAATTCTGGGAGGCCAGCCCCTGGTTCTCCCTCCTTGTTGGTGCCTGATCCAGCTGCCTTGAGTCATCGTGTATGCTGTGCCACTTGTGGACCCCCTGCCCATGCCGGGCTGTGCTGCCTGTAGGTCGACTCCCCTCATCTAGCCTCGGCTCACCGCACCACTAACCAGCCACCTCGCATTGCCATGTCATGAGGTTTCACCCTGACGTGCATTGCCACACAGCGCTACTGGCCTCCACTACACTTTGCCACCTTGTGCTTTCCTACTTTCTGCTTCTTCGGTCTTTGGGCCTAGTGGCCTTGCGAGATGGAAAGACCTTCAGTGTATTAACTGACCTCCTGAGCTCTCTGCACTTCGGGGTGGGCGCTTTGCTGTTATAATTCTTTTTCACTATATAAACTTATCTACTCATAGGCACTCATAAATATCCTGGTTTTGTTTCTATAGAGAATCCTGTCTAGTACACAGGAAATATTACTTCCCCCCAATTTACAAATAAGGAAATCTGGCACAGAAAGATTAGGTAAATTGCCCCAAGTCACAGAGCTAGTACATTGCAGAATGGTGATCTAAACCCTGCACCCCACCACACTGCATATCCCTGGAGTCCATGAAAACTCACACGAAGGGTTCACTGCAGCACTGTCTGTAAATATAACAGCAGAACACTGTTGCAGTTAAGAGTCCCTTAGCAGGACAAGGGCAAATGAGGGAATACTACAGAGCAATTAAAATTCACTAGATCTAGAAGTGATCAGCAGGGATAGATATACCAAAACACTGGAAGGCAAGCAATAATTAAAACACAGAAAGTAAAACTGTTTACGAAGCGGCTTCTGAAAGTTCTCAGAAAAATGGAATGAAAATGTAATGCATTTTTTCCATGAACTTTTTGAAGGAGAAAAAAGATCCTAGAAAGGGACATACCCAATTCATGATTTTTTTTTTTTCAGGGGTGGGAAGTGGGATTAGAGAAACAAAGAAAAGAAAGAGCTGTTAAGTTTATCTGCAATGTGCTACTTATTTTATTTTACTCTATGTAAGTATCTTAAGCAAACAGGAAAAAACTCCCACATTAACCCGGAACATCACAAGAGGTTCTCTTCTAAAATACATGCAACTTAGGAGGATCAGAGGCAATACATACCTACCTGCTCAACATCAAGGCATCTGCTGCTTCAAAAAAAAGGCCTTCCTTGCCTCCCAGTCAGTTCTGACAGCCACTCTACAGAACTGCTCCATAGGATTTTCTAAGATGGAGAAGGGACACAAATGG